TTTTAATCTTTTTCTCTCTCTCTCTCACACACACACACACACACGCATATACGCATACATTTCTTCTTCTTCTTTTTTTTTTTTTTTCATATAATCTCACTTTATTTTTATTTAATTTAATTTAATTTTATTTTATTTATTTATTTATTAACTTAAGTAAAATCTTTCGAAATATTTTATTTACAATCATCCTATTAATGTTCGCGTGATGTTTTATTATTATTTTTTTTTTTTTTTATAAATAAAAAGAAAGAAGAACGAAAGAAAGAATTTTTCAACGTATGAGTTTTTTTTTTCAACCCCTTAAGCAGCAATGATTTTAAAAACAAAACGGCTTAAAAAAAATCATTTCTTTTTTTTTTTTTGCACAAAAACATAGTTTTGAATATTGTTTTAAAAAAAAGATTTAAAAAAAAATACAGAAATAATGAATATTTTTATGTTAATTTTGGATTTTGTTTCACATTGCAGAGAATAGCTGAATATTGCAATGTTACACGTACGTCGACTTTTTATTATTTTTTTTTTTTGAATTATTATTTCGGAAAAAATATTTTTCGGAAAAAAAAAACACAATTCTTTTTCTTTTTGCTTTCACATTTTTATTTTCAATTTTCTATTATATTTAAGTGTAATTAATCATAGAAATATAAAATAATAAATACGCCGTTCGAGTTAACCTCGAGCGCACTATACCGATTACGGCTGATTTCTGCGCGCTGCTTAAGGGGTTAATTAATTAATTAATTATTATTAAACAAAGAGCAAAAAAATTGTAGAAGGTCGTTGATAGTTATTTTACTAATATTTTATTTCTTCCTCTTTTTTTTTTTTTAATAATTAAATTTTTATATTTACTATATATATATATATATGCGTCGCAGTTACATCACGTTACGATGATTGCATCTTTTGCGTTTAAACAACGCTTGTTAATAACAAAACTAAAATTTATATTTTAATTTATTATATATGTGTATGTATGTATATATATATATATATCATCGTAATTTTCGCAATATAAACAATTTACAAAAGAACGAAAATATAATAATAATAATAAAAAGGGGGAAACAAAAAAAGTAAAACAAAATATTAATTATATTAATTTAGTACGAAGTATACAATAATTTTCTTGTTTTTTTTTTNTTTTTTTTTTATACGCAGAAAATCCTATTGGTACGCAGTACCAGTTTGTTTGTTTGTTCTTTTTTTTTAATTTTAAATTACAATTTTTTTTTTTTAATTCTTTTCTTTCCTCTTTATTTTGTATTCCACTATACACTCTTTACGCAATTGTTTTTTTTTTTTTTATGAATAATGAATTATGATTGTTATTTAAAAAAAAAAAAAAAACAAGGCTGTTTTGATTATTCTTTTTCTTTTTTTTTTTTTTAAATAAAACGGGACAATATTTGACGAATAATATCAAATTATTTGAGTTTAATAATAATTGGTTGATAAAAGCAAGAAAATACGAGTATTTTTTTTTTTTTACAATTGAGATTAAAATGAAAATAAATTAATTTGAAATACAAGAAAAAAAAAAAGAAAAAAGAAAAAGAAGAAAAATTAAATTTAAGACAATGAAAAGAGAAGAAAGATTTTGCGTGTAGGCGTTAAAATATAATCGAATAAAAAACAAACATAAAGAGAGAGAGAGAGAGAGAGATAGAAGGAGAAAGAAATTAAAAACAAATCTGACAATTTAAAAAAAAAAAAAAAAAAACAAAGAAGAAAAAGAAATATTAGAAATATTCTCGTACAATTAAATTAATCAACGAATCATAAAAATTATAATTATTTAACAACATTTTAGATTTATCCATTATATTATCAATTTATTTCAAAATTTACAAAATTTAAAATTACAATAAAATTTATTACAAAATAAAGTTCGCGAATGTTAAGATAATTTAAAACAAATAATAATAAAAAAAAAAAAAAATAAATAAATAAAAAGGAACAAAAATAAAAACATGAGAAACAGATTTTCGAAAGATTATATTTTTCTAATAATTTTGTAACGAAATAAAGATCAAATAAAAAAAAAAAAAAAAATGAGAAACAGATTTTCGAAAGATTATATTTTTCTAATAATTTTGTAACGAAATAAAGATCAAATAAAAAAAAAAAAAAATAACTCAAACCAATTACAAATAAAACGAAAATTAAAATATTGGGTTTGTTCGGAAAGTAATTTCGTTTTGTTTTGTGTGTGTGTGAAAATGAAGACAATTTTCATTTCAAAATCCACCTTAGGCCTTTTTTTAGTGGTCATAAATAATTAAATTCCATAAATTTAATCTCTCACCGATCTAACGTGTTTTTATTTGCCGATTTGGCAACTAAACTAATGGTTTTATTTTGTCAAAAATAAAAAACGAAATTACTTTTCAAACAACCCAATACAAAATAAGGGAAGTAGGGGGTTGTTTCTTTCTTCTTTTCGAAAGATTATACTTTTCTAATAACAAAATTTAAATCCAACAAGATAATTCATCTATATATATATATATATATATATATATATATATATATATATATAATAAAGAGAAAAAGCCAAAAAAAGAAAGTAAAGAAAGAAAAAGAGAAAGAATGAGAGTGATAGAGAGAGAGAGAGAGAGTGTGTGTGTGTGAGAGAGAGAGAGAGAAAGAGATTTCGTAGAACACGTCAAGGCAAAGGATGACTAAGGTTTCTGGCATGACTTGACCTAACGGCGAGTAGGCATATACCTCGACGCAAAAGATCGATTCCTCGAGATAAGACTGCGGAAAGATCTTTTCTCTAGCTGAGGCCCTGTTCGTAAATGCTCTTTCTTAACACTATGCCCGTTACACGATTATAAATGCTAATTTATGATTTCCTCGCGTCACCATTTTTTTTTTTATTATTATTATTATTATTATTCTCATATATTTATTTTTTTTTATACACTTTTTTTTCTCTCTCTCTCTCTCACTCTCTCACTCTCATTCTCATTCTTTTGTCTCTCTCTCTCTCTCTCTTTCTCTCTCTCTCTCATTTTCTTTTTCCTTTCTCACTTTTACCCCTACCATCATCCCCTTCACTCTTCATATACATGTATATATATATTTAATTCAATATTTCTATCTCTCTCTTTTGTTCTATGATTTTTATTTTTATTTTTTTTCAATACACACGCATTACACCATACTAACACACGTATCACTTATGTTAGCACTTTAGGCTACAATTTGATCCGTTTATATATATATATATATATCGCTCTCTCTCTCTCTCTCTCTTTCTCTTTCTTTTTTATTAATTCGATTTATTTTTAGAATCTCTGTTTTTGGTTTTTAATATACGTGTATGTATGTGTATGTGTTTATGTGTGTGTGTTGAGAAAGAGAGTATTTTAAATAACCGTGTTTCTTCTTTCTTCAATCTTCTTTCTTCATTCTGATTTATTGTTCTTCATTTCATTTAAAAATTTGAATTTTAATTAAAAATTTGACGATTAGGTTAGGTTGAACCTATTGAGATTAATCGTCGAATATTTTCAATTTTTGAAATGATATACAATTTCAGAGAAGGATTTCCATCGTGTTGTTCTTTTTGTCGTGTTAAGTGTCGAGGTAAAATGGCCGACAATGATGATAATAATGATGACGATTAGGATGATTATGATGATTATGATGATGATATTATGCGGAAGCAAGCTGCCTCCAAACAGAGTGTCACATCGGGTTCATGTAAGGCCAATTGAAGCTGCTACCACTTAGCAACATATCTCTGATTAGGGTTTCAATAGGTGTTTTTCCAACCAATCGTACAAAAAACAATTGCTCGATAACTTGTGAGGATACTGTTCTCAATGATGGTAATCTTAATAACAATTTGCCGAACCTAGTTGGTTGATTAGGATAATGTGTCCTACAATATTCTTCTAAGGCGCACTGAGATTTTTCTTGTAACGATTCGATGTGGTTAACGTCCGACAATCCGCACGCGTCTGTAAACAAAAAATAAACAAATTATTAATATTATTATTATATTTTATTCACATATGTATATGTATAGTATATTAATTATGTTTCAATATATATTTTTATTATATAATAACTAGGGGTGCTCCGCCACGCTGTGGCTCACAATCAGTCTGATACACACGTTGTTTAAGTCAACGAATTACCTTATACCGTCATCTGTTAGACTCTTTGTTAATAAACTGAAATAATTCGCAATAAATTGAGATATAAATAATCCTATCTTTCAAGTTGAATGAAACTGCACACAGTGTGCAAAATTTGATTAAAATCGGTTTAGTAGTTTAAGAGTCCATTGCGAATAAACAACATGACACGTAATTTATATATATTTAGATTTACATTTTATATTTTTATATATAAAAATTCAGTGTAAAACATTGTTAGTTTTCAATTAACTTGGATTATTTGTATTTTTGATTGCTAATTTAAGGATTTAGTATTTAGAGATTATCTAGGTTTCTAGTTACTGTAAATTTTCAATAGGTGGTGGCCGTATTTCAATTCAATTAATTCAATTAACATACAGCATAACCTTACTTTTTTAATTACGTTGTAATTTTGTAATTATAGTACTATTTTATTATGGTATATTTATTTGAAATATATATGGTATTATTTATTTAAAATAATTAATAATTAATATTAAATAATAGTATTATTTTGTGTGTTCTTATAATTTACTAAATAAATAATAAAATTGCGTTTCTTAACATATTTAAAAAAAAAAAAATAAATGATATAATAATTGATAATTAATATTTAAAATAATTGAACGTTAATAATTGAACTTTACAAACAATTTAAAAAAATAAAATAATAATAAAAAAAAAGCCAAAATAACCTAAAACAGTGATTCAATGATAACGTTGACAAAAGATAAAACAAAAATGAAAACTAAAAGAGAAAAAAAAAGGATTCATGATGGTACTAGAAAATGGTAGGTAGGTGTGGTTATACTGAAGGATAGGGGTGTAGAAAGAGGGGGTAGTATTTCAAGGGCCTCATGGGGTTGCCGCGAAAGCTGCCCTCGGGCCACCAGACACGCAGTCAAATGAGACTCGGATGTTGGAATGCGAGCCAACTAGCTTGGGATAGGAAAGGAAAAACCGTGCAACCATAAGAGAATGAATATAGAATAGAAAGAGAGAAGAGAAAGTGTCTCTCATTCTCTCACTCTCTCACTCTCTCTTTCTCACGCTGCCCGTGCAAATGTCAGACTAATCACGTGGGGTGTCCTCTTGTTTCAACGCGCGAGCGCGATAATCCGCACTATTGTTTTGCTGCGCTGAAAATTCATCTTCTCTTTCAACAAGAGTAACGTTTCCCTCTTATATATATATATACATATACATATATATATATATATATATATATATATATATATATATATACATATATATATATATATTTCTCTTTCTCTTTTTACTTCGTAGGTGGGATTTTCAAAAAAAAAAGGGGTTGGAAGGGATGGAATCGCATGTCATAGAGGAAAAGTAAAAACGTTCGTTTCGTTTCATGATCCTAGTTCTATTATTTTTTTCCTTTTACTTTGGTATTTCACGTATTCTTTTACATATGTTATGGTATATTCCATACCTAATTTTTTAAACAAAATTTCTAAACACCCCCACTTTCCTTGGGACTATACACTGTGTCATATAATAAGACCCAATTATTCCTAACATTGTACAAACAATTTAACTCTATCGGATTTCGTACCTAACTAGAAAATAACTAGATTAAATTAATTAAATATTTTATCATATTTTGGTATTTCACGTATTCTTTCACATATGTGATGGTACATTCCACATACCTCCTAATTTTTTAAACAAAATTTCTAAACACCCCCACTTTTCTTAGGACTATACACTGTGTCATACAATAAGATCCAATTACTCAGACATTTTTAAAGAAATTCAACTCTATCGGATTTCGCACCTAACTAAAAAGTACCTAGATTTAATTATTTTGTCATTTAAAACACTGTATAATCAAAGTCAAAAGTTATTGTCACTAAAATGTTTTCTCATTTTGCAGATTTATTAAATAGCAAAGGGATAGAAATAGAGGTGTGGGGGTTAAAAGACAAAGATGGATAAGCGTAGAAGATCTCCCCTAGTTTTATTTTATTTTTTTCTTTGGTAATATTACGAATTCGTCGAGGCTAAAAGCTTCGTACGGTGTATTTTCCCATTTCATTATCGCAACTCCAAGTGTGTTACAGTAAAATGAGAGACAAAGAAAGAGGATATGTTCGAGTGTCGAAGAAGACGAGAAGAGATACGTATGGGGGTGTATAAGAGGGGGTTGAGGGTGGGTGGAAATAGGAGAAATCGTTTTATCGAAGAACACAACGGTGGTTTAGGAATACGCGTGGAAAATCGTTGGGGAACGGCCAATATGTGTAAATCGGCCGTGCTGGGTAGTTTAGTCATCGTACGACACACACAAACACACACATACACATATATACAAAGTGTGAGAGAGAGAGAGTGGTGGGATGAGGGTGGAGAGCTTTTTGCGGTCCCGATGGAACAAAACGTCATTTCACGTTGCCGCCCCGTAATGCCTCTAGTCTTCTCTAACACACCCACACACAAGCATACATACATATATATAAATGTGTGTATATGTGTGTTAGAACCGTGCGCGTACACAGAAGCCATAGGCGGATTCCTTTGTGGCGGCCACGTGCGCGTAATGGGCCATTACGCGTACGTATGGAAATAATGCGATTTGCATTTCGAAACGAACCGTTCTATGCATCCTCCGTGTCCGGAAACCAGAATCTTTAGTTTTTTTTTTCTTCTTATTCTTATTCTTATTATTAGTATTTGTTAATTTTTTTTTCGTTCGTTTTACGAACAATAATAAAACAATAGGAATGATTTTAATTAATTTGTGGCATATTTGATAGTAAGTAATGTGTGTGTGTAGTAATTTCTAGTAATTTTTGACTTTCTATTATTGGTTATGTTATTATTATTGTTCTCGATGTTTAATAAAAAGTATAGAAATGAATTTGTCGACTACGATCACCCCTAGTAGCACAAAATATTGAAAAATATTGAATACATGCGTATTTAATCTTAAAAAGACATTATGAATATCTTATTGTGACGATTTATTAAACGAAATTAATTATATACGATCAAATAAATATAACATAACCTTAAACTATTGTTTCCACCAATCACGAATAAGAATAAAAGAGAAAGACGCCATTTTTTATAATGGCCGACACTTGCATCAACGACGAATGTTCATATCGATGAAGAATTGATCGAATGAATTAAAAAAAAAGAAAAACTAGATTACAAGGAGACAATGATGATAACTCTGATAAAAGATGACGATGACGATAATAATAATGATGATGATGATGGTGGTGCCATGTTCAATTTAGTCGAGTCGATGTATTTGTTTCTATCGCGATCGACGATTGGTTCAATTAAACGAGACCGCTAGGAATCCCGCCAACGCTTGACCAATAATAAACAAACTGTCCGGATTGGCCTATCCGATATCGTCAGCGCCAATTCAACGCATCAATTCGAATAATGCGTGTTGAGTGGCGTCTTCTTCTTCTTCTTCTTCTTCTTTTATCTTAAGTATTAACGTGTATAAAATATATGTTTCTTCGTTCATCCAAGTCCTTCTTTCTTATTTGCCGGTTTGTTCGCGTTAAACGCTAAATGCCCTGGCGCCTTGTTGACCGAGCATCATCGTAAATTAACCAATCTCTTTAAACCACTGGGTGCTCATCTTCTTATTTTTCTTTTTCTTTTTCTTAGTTTTATTCTTCTTCCTGGTTGTTAGTTTTTTTTTTTTTTTTTTTAATTAATTCATTCTCTTGCATTCTTTGTTAATTTATTATACAATTTTTATTCATTTAATATTATTTATTCTTTTATATTACATATACTGATGTTAGTGTTTTTGAAGTAATATTTAATCCTTTGAGTGATATGGACGCATATATGCGTTTGGTAAAAATAACTAGAGTGGTTTATCGATGTATATATGTGTTTGTTAATATTAATGTAAAATATTGTAACGTTCATATTAATTAAATTAAATTATATTAAGAAACAAAAATTAATTAATTATTAAATATAATTTATTGTTAAAATTTGTTTAATAATAAATTATTTAATGAATATTATTATATATATATATATATATATTAATAATAAATTTTTATTAATAATTAATTATTCCATTCCTAGAAAACTTTTTAGATAAAAATATTTAATACTCAAAGGGTTAAATATCTTATGGTTTAAATATTTTCCAAATTTATTTATTTACAAATTATTTATATTTTTTTTCTTCATCTTGTTTTTTTGGTTATATTAAAATTATTATTCATAAATGATTGTTTATGGGATACAAAAAATAATTCTATATTATATACATTATTTAATTAATTTGTAATTTGATTTAAAAGTACGTTTATAGTTGTTTGGGTTTAATAAATCAAATTGTTTTTTTAGGGATGTTTTTATTTTATTTTTTCTTCTTCTTTTTGGTGACATTTTCTATGGGTTTAAAGTTATCGTTCTTTTTATTTATTTTTTTTTCTTTCTCTTTGCTTTCCTGGTTAATTACGTACGCTCTAGCTGGAGAAGTTATTTACGTTGATACGAAGATAACGGTATCGAATGGCACTTCTTCGAACGTTTCCATGGCCGATATATATATATATATATATATATATATATATATATATGTACTGTATATGTATATATAAAGTGACTCGTTGGTTCGTTCGTTCATTCGTTCTGCATCGTTCAAGAAACTTCTATCCGTACTTGTCACCCTTAACGAACTCGACGACGATCCCGATTACTTTCGAGATTTCTCACACGCGATTTATATCGACTGTTTGTTAAATGCCGATGAATTTTATAAACCAGTGTCAACACATCTTTCTTAGAAACTAGTTAAGATTATACAT